AGGTTAAAACTAATTGCAACATAAGTTGCAACATTAAAAGTTGCAACATATTAATTACAGTTCCCATCTTTACTTATCATCAATTTCATCAAAAATTAACAAAAAAATATTAAAAATTAAATGATAAAGAATAATAAATGAAATAAATTTGGATAATGCAAATACTATAGAATACTTACCACTGGTAAATACTACTAATATGTTACAAAAAGTTCATGTAGCTATTTTTCTATCATTGGATGAGCTTTAATCAACTTCTTCTGATATTGTACTTATTACCATATTTTTGGATCCTTGGTTTAAAACTTTTGAATAATATCAAGAAAGTGGTAGAATTGAAACTGAAAATTTAATTCAAATGTTATATAATAAAATAAAACAAGGTCTTACTGAAAATACTGAAAAGATGGTATTTAATAATCCATTATCAGATGATGATAATATATTTAAAGCATTGGAAGGTAATTCAAAAAATATATTGATAGAAGAGGAGGAAGACAAAATAAAAAATTACTTATAACAAAAAAAATCAGAATTAAAGATAGTCCGTTAAAATAGTGATCAGTTCATAAGAATATATTACTAATCCTAACACCAAATTGTACGAAAGTATTTATCTATTCCTGCAACATTTGTATTAAAAGAACATTTATTTTCAGATTTAGTTAACAAAATATTATTTTTAAAAAGAAATAGTAACCACTAAAGATGATACAGCAATTGATTTTAAATTTACAAAATGTTGTAACATAAGCTAAAATTAGTTGCAACATTAAAAGTTACAACATATTAATTACAGTTCCTATCTTTAGTAACCACTTTAATATTTTTTTCCTTTTTGAATAATAGAATAGTAAATTTTTTTTTGAACATTTTATTTTTTCTTTAATATATTAATAAAAAATTTTTGATAATTATAATGAATTGATTATATATTGAATAAATGACTTAATGATTATAAATTATATAAATAATAAATTGAATTATTTTATTAAATTCTCATAATTAGTAACCTAACATTTAATATGTTTAGTTGTAGTTTTACTATCTACAAAATCCTTTACCCTCAAGATTTGAATAATCTAGTCTTAGTCATATCAATGGATTATGAATTGCTAGACTAAATCTGCTAATTTATATTGATGGGTATCTTAACGTTCAAAATATAAATCCAATCCTCCAATATTATTCTATAATTAATTACCAAAAAATTAATTTTTTTATTAAAAATTTAACAATTAATAAAAAAAATATATTTCAAACATACTTCATAATACTATTTCTTCCGAATCATAATCTGGATATCTTTGAATTACAAAAAAAAATTAAATTAAAAAAAGAAATGATAATTTATTAACAAATAAATTGAATATCTTAGACATTTCTTATTTTTGATGGCTCAAAATTTGATTCTGAGAAATTTCAGTTAATAAATATACTATATTAACTTTAAGTAAAATAATTCACTTCAAAAAATTTGGTTGACCTGTTGATGGATCATTACCCTAAATGATTTGGTTAAAATATTAGTTAGATTATACTATAAAATGGATAAATTAATGAATAAGGAAATTAAAATAATAAAATGAATATTTAGCAATTTTTCATTTTGAATAAAATATATGTAATTCTAAAAGTATTAAGATGACTCAAAAAAAATAAATATTCTACCTTTTATTTTTTTTCTTAGTTTCATTTTTTACTTCCTTTCTCTATTCTTTATAGTATTTGAAATACTTTTTCAGAACTACTGACTCTTAAGGAATATATCAAGATTTTTTTGAATTTCTTAATTCTTATACATGTGATAGATAAAAGGTTATTGTGAATACACCGCATTATTTTGTTGCAGTAAATTATTCGCTCTATAATATTTACAGTCTAGCCTAGTTAAAGCTTCTTTTTAATATGCAGTATAAAAATATTGTCTGATTCAAGATTCATGCTCGTATTGTTAATAATTATATCACAAAAAGAATGGATGTAAGTGATATAAACTCATCCTATTATCTCTTAATAGAGGAGGTATATGTTTGCTTAAATCATTTAGCTAATAAAAATAGAATATTCTTCTTTTTGCTCTTTGTGTATAAGTTTAATTAAAACTCACAGTTCAAATTTGATAAAACCGTAATTTTAATATTACACAAATTTTATATTATAAAGTACTAAACACATATATATCTAACTAGTTCAACTCATTTTATTCAAGCTAAGTATTTGAATCAAATCAGATTTATAGTAAAATCAGTTGCAACTGGATCTAATTTTCTAAAAAAACTAAAACTGGATTTTGAAAATAAAACCAGTTTCAAACCCTATCTTGTATATTAAAACTAAAACTTATCTATTACAAAAAAAGCTTTTAATATTATTTAGTCTAAAAATTCTTGATTACAAAGAGCAAGAATTAGCATTAGACTATTAATACAATTTTAAATATAATAATATATATTGTCTATTTAAGTATGATTGTTTGCATATTAAAAGTATTCTAATATTTACTATTATCGCTATCAATTTTATTATTAAACAACTTTATATTTTTTTCTATTTTGGCAAAACTAATAAGTATTTTTTTTTTTTTTTAAATCTTTATTAAACACAATGGCTAATTTGATATATGAAATATAAAGAAAATGTTTAAATTTATATCATATTTTCATATTTTTACAAAGCATTATTATTTGAAAAATATTTAATATTTTATAATAATTTGATTTCAGCAGGCAGAATATAATTAAAATAGTAAGATATTGTTTGTGAAATATAAAAATCTAAGGAACAAAATAATTAGTATTAATCTGAAAACTTATATAGAAAGTAATTAAGTTAAAAATAAGTTTATGTAAAAATTTAGAATAGTTAGTATTTTATTTGTTATACTAATCATTATCTTGTTACATATTCAGTTATACTAAGAATAAAAATTCTAAAACTAGAATTCTGAACAGATTGGGTTGGGTCAGGTAATTGACTTAAATTAAATATATATTGACTTGACCTGGCCTGTCTAAAAAAGGAAACTAAACAATTATTAATTTTGTTTAATATTTTTTTTAAAAAAATATAAAATATTGGTACATTTTTACATTTGATTATTTTTCAAAAAAAAAGATACTAATATAATTATTTTAATTGCAGAATTTAAAATTACA